AGGGTTCTACCGGAGGCGTGGGAGCGGAAGAAGCGGGATCCGAAGTTGACGAAGGCTGGGGAGCAACGTCGCCTGCTTTTGCCTTAGGCGTTGATTTAGCCTTTGGCATCCAAGTTTGTTTGGATCTCGGTGATCTCTTAACCGCCTCTTCCTTTTGGGCATCCAAGTTTGTTTGGATCTCGGTGATCTCTTAACCGCCTCTTCCTTTTGCATTTCTTATGCTTTTCGCACCAGGATCTGGGCATGCGCAAGAAGTGCGCGATGCTTCTGAATGCGCTCCTCCAGAGTGGAACAATTCCGTTTGACACGAACCCATTCGTTAGTAGGTGGTTGGGAGGAAGTTTTCGAAGCTTGCTTCTGGAACACTTGGCGCCTTCTGAGTTTCAAATCTGCATCATAGCAGATCCTGTCAACAGGCTTCAAAGCCTTGCCAAATTGGTGCGCGAGATGTTGATGGCGCCTTTGACGAGCCCTCTTCGTCAGCACTGATGCACTTTCAACGGGCAACTCTTTGACTTTCAAAGAGTTATCACGAACGTTGGATCTGGTTTCTTTAGAGGCCGCAGAGGGGTCTTTCACTGCATTCGAGTTCAGATCATCAGCCCTGGTCTTCGGATCTGAAGGCATATTCTTCACGGCAGTGGTTTTCCTGCGTTTGCAAGAAGAAGATCTGGAGGAGTAGGAAATATATTCCTCGAATTTCTGTTGGTCGAATTCGTATTCGACCTCTTCGAACACCAGGATCTTGATCGTCGGTTGCGTCACGACAGCCTCGGTAGCAAGGTTGTTGGCTCCCACTGTGGTCGCCAGCTTGTTTGGGGAGAAAATTAGTTTCTTCATTGAGGTACTCATTACAACTTTAGTCGTTACAATGAAAATATAAAAAGATGGTCTTTTTATAAGACTTTTACACAATGAAAATACAATTCTTGTCAAACAACACAGAGATCATTTATCGGTCTTCTGCTTGCGTGGGATCTTGGCCTGGGACGAGGATGTTGATATCCGTGGACCACCAAACGATCAGATCAGATCCGGAGCTTCATCGATTCGTGAAGGAATCAAGAAGCCGAAGTGCTTATCTCGACAACAGCGAGATAATTGCTCTTCTTAAGATCACCACAACGGGGTAATCTTAAGGGACGAACCGGGCTGCAGATCTGACGAACTCCTCTTCTTTATGTCGAAGAATCCGCTGAAGTCTCCTCCTCCTCTCTGAAATTCGTGGCTCTTCACTCCTCAATCCGGCAGGGCTTCGCCAATGCTCAAGAATTCCAAATCTTAAAAAATAAAGGTCCTGGGGCTGTATTTATAGGCTTAGGGACCCTTGTTTTTAGATAAGAATGGCTGATTCCATCTTATCTTCAGTTGAAACCACTTAACCATATTATCAGATTGGTTGGAACAAATCCAGGCGGTTAACGATCGAAAAACCGTCAAAAACAACCAAAATCAGCGTTTTTTATATTGCAGACACTTCTGAGTGTCTTGGCATGGCAGAGACACTTATAAGTGTCTTGGCTAAGCCAAGACACTTGAGAGTGTCTCAGCTTGGCCGAGACACTTATAAGTGTCGTGGACAAGCCGAGACACCACGGGGTGTCTTGGTTTGGCTTTTTCTGGTTTTGACGCGTCGAGTTTGTTTCCACCGTAAATTCGTCGTCCGGACTCGGAATTACGCGGTTCAAGATACGTTAGAAAACCGACGAGAAGGTCTACAGGCTCCTGTAATTGAATTATATGTGGAATAAATGGGAGACGAGGGGTGCTCCGCCTTTCGTAAACAACGCGGGGCTCCCGATCAGCTCTTGTTTCCGTTATTCTGAAGTTCCATTGCTTCGTATGATCCGTCGACTCACTTGATGTGTTTGTCATTATCAAACGAGCTCCTGTGAATCTAATACCAACGTTCATCATCTTCTCTCTGTCTCGAGCCATGTGCGGGGACCTATAGGTAATTTTTGACGCCTACAATCTCCTTACACAATGAAATAAAAAGATTAAAATTTTTTCAAACAACACACTGATCCTATTTATTAGTCTCTGTTTGTGTGGGATCTTTGCCTGTGTAGGGGATGCGTTAGTCCGTGGACCACCGCGAATCAAATCTGATTAATAGAAAAGTTAATTAATGCTCTTGCTTCACAAAGAAAACAATCACAGAAGTGATAATCTCGACCAAGCGAGATTACGACTCTTCTCGAGATCAAAACCAAGTTTGATCTGGAGGAAAGAGGAACGGGCTTCAGATCCTTCGAAATCCACTCTTTACACACAGGAATTTGCCATGATCTCGCTAGCCTCTCTCAAATTCGTGGCTCCCTTTAGATCTCCTTTTATGAGGGTGCTAGAGGTGTATTTATAGGCTTTAAATATCATGTTTGTGGATAGGAATGTCGTGTTTGTGGATAGGGATGAAGAACAACCGTTATTATCTGTTTAGGTGGATTTTCGGTTATGTAACAGCTTCCACACATTTAAGGATAAACCCACATATTTATGGATGACCCCAAGGAGTTCTAGAAGCCAATCTTATCAGAAAACACGTCGGGAGCTGACTTGGCCCTGAGTCACTTCGACTGTCTCGCACATGTCCGAGACAGCTTAGACTATCTTGGGTATTTTGGTCTTAACTCTTTCGTACGAACTCGGAATCAAAATACATTGCAAAGATAACAAAGAGACCTACAACTTTTATCTTTGAAGATTCTTCAGATTTGAATCGTATCATGGCCAAAATATGCGAGACACAATTGGTGTCTCGTAAGTGTAAAAAGTCTGGACTGTCTCGAGTGTTTTGGCTCTAACTCCCTTGTCTAACCTCTGAATGAAGTGATCCAATGCACGTTAGAAAGCTTGAGAAGAGCTATACAACCTCCCATGGGTGAGACACTCATGCGATGAGCAAGACATGAGTGGTGCTTACTCCTTTGTGGGTGAAACGTAACCCCAGGTCGAGTCGCTTCTTCGTTATTGTACCATCCCGTTGATTTGTATGTTTTATCAACTCGCTTCGTATATTTATTAGCTTCTCTATGATATCAGATAATCCTTTTTGATATAGATAATGACGTTCATCGTATTCTTTTCGTCTCGAGCTGCGTGCGGGAACCCATAGGTAATTTTTGACGCCTACAATTAGGAATCTTTAGAATTAAGTTTCATGAACTTTTTCAATATTTTTATATACTTATGTGGATACTTTTATCATATAAAAGTATAATAGAGTTAGTATTAATCTTTAATATATAATTTTTTATGAAATCTATCAATGGTTAGGAACAAACTTCATATTTTCTTTTATATCGTTATAGCATAATTTTAGTCAATCACTTTGCCTTATTAGTTTCAAATATTTACCTAACACTATTTTAATATTTTCACTTTTGCAACACTGTATTTTCTCAAGTAAAGCTTGGTTTTATATCGGTCAAAATAATATGAAAATTCAAATTAGCTTCAAATTATATTTATTTTTTTGCCAATTCAAAGATTAACATAAAAATTTAAATTGGGTGTAGCCCATGTAAACACACATAAAAAAATCGTGATATAAAAGTTTAGAGGTAAAAGTGAGCACAAACTATTAAAGTGGAACTGAGAAATAAATTTTTCTTTGAAAATAAGCCAAAAATATTTAATCATGGTATTTAACCACGTGCATTGCACTTGTATAAAATCTAGTATATATAAAATTTGTAGCTAATAACTTTTCTTTAGTTTAAATTTAAATTATAAATCCAAGAAAAAAAGAAAAAATATTGATCATTAATGTTCAAGGAGCCGAATTCCTCCAAGTTATATTCACCATGTTCTTCAAGGAAAGCTTTTGTTTGTTGTCCTTGTGACCTTTTTTCATTATTGTGTTAGTCACTAGACTAGATTAGTGAGCTTATAGGATTTTTAAATTTATTTAGAATTTTGTTAAAAGAACTCGGGTCAGGCCATTGGTCGGCCATGTCAGGCATATAGTGGGCCGGACCTGCCTCTTTAGTCTAGGGTCTTGATCAACACTCAGCCCGGCCCATGCACGACCTGCCTTCAATGTGGGTCAAGTTAGGGTTTGACCCAAGCTGGCATAGGCCAGTTCTAGATTTGCTCAAAACCGGGCTAGCTAGGCCAACTAGGTCGGGTCTAACTTGAGCTAGCGGGTCAAAGTGCACTGGGGTTTTCTCTCTGATCCCGAATTCGGATTGGACCTAGCACAACCCACAACTCACCTAGGGGTGAACTGGACCAGAACCAGCCCATGGCTCATTGTTTTTTTTCAAAATTTTCCTTTTTAAACTATATATTAAATATGTGTGTCGCACAAAGATAAATATCACACAAAAAACATCAACATCGCAAACACACAAATATATGTGGTTTAATTGACCAAAAAAATGTGGTTTAGACATCGGAGGAAGACCTACATTCACGGCAGCTAATAACTTTTCTTTAGTTTAAATTTAAATTATAAATACAAGAAAAAAAGAAAAAAAGAAAAAAAAATATGTTGATCGTTAATGTTCAAGGAGCCGAATCCCTCCAAGTTATATTCGTCATGTTCTTCAAGGAAAGGTTTTGTTTGTTGTCATTGTGACCTTTTTTCATTGTTGTGTTAGTCACTAGACTAGAATATTAGTGAGCTTATAGGATTTTTAAATTTATTTAGAATTTCGTTAAAAGAACCCGGATCATGCCATTGGTCGGCCATGTCAGGCCTATAGTGGGCCGGACCTGCCTCTTTAGTCTAGGGTCTTGATCAACACTCAGCCCGGCCCATGCACGACCTGCCTTCAATGTGGGTCAAGTTAGGGTTTGACCCAAGCTGGCATAGGCCAGTTCTAGATTTGCTCAAAACCGGGCTAGCTAGGCCAATTTAGCTCGAGTTTCGAACTTGCCCATACCCAACCGCCCGGTTCGAACCTGCCAATACCCAACCCTACTCGCCTGCTCTCCTCAGTATACAGCAGCAATTATAACACCCCTTCACAATTAGAAAAAGGACACCCTCCTCCCTCAAAGACACAGCTCCCGAAAATCCTCTCTCTTCTGCCCCTGTTCACACGAAAGAGAGAGAGAGAGCTAAATTATGAGGAAAGCACTCAATTCCCTAGTTTGAAACTGCAACAAAATACCACTTATTTAATTACTTTCCCCATTTGTTGTTTGGCTTTCATGGGCTTCAAGCTACAATGATTTCTTCTCTCTGCCACCCTGCGCTGTGATATCATCACGCCAGTTCTCAGCCTTGACCTTCTATTCTCTCATACCTTCTCCTTAAAGACCCTGTAGTAGTACTTTACTCCAGTTCTGAGAACGGGGGCAAAAATCAGAGAAAAGGGACCAAACTAGTTCGATCTTGTCCTCTTCAATGTCGAACTCTGAGGGATTATTAGAGCCCAAGGCCAAGAGGAAGAGAAGCTTACCTGGCAACCCGGGTACATAACCGGCCACGCCGATTTATAGCAATTTTCCTGCAATTTTCATTTCGTTTGTTTGGAGTAAAAATTTTACTGCAATATTGATATTAATTATTTTTCATTTTGATTTTTGGCGAAAGACCCAGACGCAGAAGTGATAGCACTATCCCCAAAGAGCTTAATGACTACGAACAGATTTGTCTGTGAAATCTGCAACAAGGGTTTCCAAAGAGACCAGAACCTGCAACTTCACAGAAGAGGCCATAACCTGCCGTGGAAGCTCAAGCAGAGATCAGACAAGGATACGATCAAGAAGAAAGTCTACGTTTGCCCTGAGCTTTCTTGCGTCCACCACAGCCCGTCAAGGGCTCTCGGCGACCTCACGGGGATCAAGAAGCATTACTGTAGGAAGCACGGGGAGAAGAAGTGGAGGTGTGACAAGTGCTCGAAGAAGTACGCGGTGCATTCGGACTGGAAAGCTCATGTTAAGACCTGCGGAACGAGAGAGTACAGGTGCGGCTGTGGGATTCTCTTTGCTAGGTAATCGTCTTCAGACCCTTCTTATAATTTTTCCATCTTTTGTTGTTCTTAATTTTATTGGACTCGATAAATAATCCAAGTTGAAGGTAACTAACTTCAAAATTTTGGATGCTTGATGGTTTTGATGATTAGGGTTGACCTAAACGAGTTGAAGTACCTCAACCACCTGTTTTCTTTTTCTCTTGTTCTTCTCAAGTTATTATGTGTTATGCATGGTAGTGGTATGTGGAGGATCTTTTTAATATATATATTAATTCATATATACAATGACAAGAGCTTGCACTAATTAATTAAAACACATGTTTAAAACCTGTTTTCGTACTTAATTCTCGCTCGTAGAACTTGCACAGAAGATTGCAGGTCCACGAAATTTACATCATGATGTTATTGTTTTAAGTTCTTTCTGGTTTATTTTAATAAATTATGACCTTCTTTTTTTTTGGAACTGGTTTATCAATTCTTAATTTTGTCATTTACTGTTGAACGGGAAGAAAAAAAATACAAGGATTTGAACATGTGACAATAATAACAAGTTATGAACTAGAATTTTTTTTTCATTTTTATTGGTTTCACATCTTATTAATTGCTTAGAAAATTGAATCT